GGAGCCGCGGCTCTGCGTGGAGCCGCGTGCCGTGGCCAGGCGTTGCCGCGGCATCACCTTGCGCGCGGCTGCTAGCCTTTGCACAGGCTCTTTTTTCGGGTGGAGTAGCTCAGGGTACGTTTTTTACATATACTTGTTTTCGAGACAGTTGCTGTAAAGGGAGATGCAATTTCCGTGCGTTTCTTTTACGTGCGTGAGCGTGCGTTTTTCGTCAGTTTAAATCTCAGAACTGAGATGGTCACTTATGTCTGCGCTTGAAAGGGCTTAATCCTGAAAGGTGCGGGCTGCCCGGGGCCTGACCGTAGGTGAGCCGCCTGCGGTTAAGGCTTGGCGTTCCCATCCGCAGGTAGTGGAACAGGCCGGGATGGTCCGTGGTTTTCAGCTGGAGGTGTGGCTTCTGCTGAGCTTTGGGGACTGGGTCCGGACGGCTTAGTTTTTTGAACCGAGTCTAACCTTGCCTTGCATCTTTAGGGGTTTTTGCCCTCTGCATTAGGGTTATTGTTAATAGTGTTAAAAATTGGAGGTTGTAGGTTCATAGGACATAAGGAAGACTGAAGTGGGAAGTAGGGTAACAAAGCATTATCTTGAAATGAAAAAGACATGTAGAAATCGCAGTAGAATTTGAAAAATTTGCTTGCAGTGTGTTGCCATCTTGGCAGGAAGGGTGGTACAGAAGCGAAGGATTAATCCATCACCCTCGTGTAATTTACACGCTGGAGCGATACACAGTTGTTACTGTGACTTTGTGAGTGTTATTGTCAGTGGGCCGTTGTTGCAGCTTATTTAGTTGGCCCTTCTTTCAAGCTACCTGAAACCGGGAGAAAAGAGCGCTCTGTGCAGTCTGAGATGAACAGCGTGATTCTTGCTGGAGACGTGCTCCTTCTCCTGCTGATGTCAGTGATGTGCAAAAGGGTTTGCTGCTGAGCCTCGGCAAAAGAGAATCCAACTTTACATCAAGGAGTGGTAATAAAGAGCAGAAAATTTTCCTTTGGATTAAATCCATGCATAGCTACAGTGAATATCAAGGGCGATCCACGTTTCCTAGAATGTGCTCAGTCGCTCACAAAAGGAGCCTTAACAGACAGAAATGCCGCATCTTTTAATGTTGAAATCACATGTCAGGGTGACACATAGGATGAGTGCTGGCAATCTGTAGTGGCAAATAGTGACAATCCTGTTTTTTTCCCAGAGAATCAACTGGGGTTTCAACCAGAGCAAATCAATTGCCTTATTTAAATCTTCCATATCATTCCTCAAGGTACTGAGTATTTCTTGAAAAGCGGAGAGCTTCTGCAGCTTTTGTTATCTGCAGTGGCACATGAGAGGCACTCAAGATCTCTTAGGAAGGTCAGTGAGGCAGACCTCATGCCTAGGTATGTTCCACCTCCTTTGAAATCACTGTAAAAACAGAGATAATATATGTGTCTTCGTTCCAGAAAGGAAACACCCAAATCTTATGCTAATGGTTGTATTAGAGATGTTTTCTTCTTAATAACATGCCTTTTCTTCTACTATATAGTAAAATTTAGCACTGTTTATTTTCACATATGAGCTTTTTTAAGGTGTATAGTAAAAGAAGTGGAACTGTGTAAAAACCTTACCAGGAAATACGAGGCTGATTCTGCAGCTCTTACCTGAGGGGGGAAATCCTTGCTCCTTCTGAGAATCTACCCTTGATTCTCAGGTAAGAATGTGAATGTGGATATTTTGTGCAATTAAAGCTTGCAGGGTCAGGACCTGTCTGACTTATCTTTACATATTATTAAAGAATGATAGAGAGATGTACAGAAACATGCATAAATATATACATACATATACACACATACATATATATGTGTGTGTGTGTGTATACACGCATATACATATATATACACACATGCTTTTTTTCCTTCCTTCCTTCATGACAAGCTAAGAAGTCATCACTCCTGAACATATCCTGTTCCTACAAGATCTCCTGAATCATGTGGTTTATTTTAAAATATGCGTATGTATAAATGAAATATATACTGTGGCTCATGAGTGTATGATCTGTAGTCAGCTCATGCTTCTAGAAACCTGGTAAGTATGCAGGGATGATACCTGAATTATTTAGTGAGCTGCTGTGAAAAACAACAGAAAAGGCTATCCTGTTAGTGTGAAAGCTGATGATTAAATGATGTTTTTGAAGAGATAAAGGAGTATAAAAATACGTTCTCAGCTATTCTGTTTTTCTTTTTGCATGAAGCTGAACTGAAAGTTTGACTGTAAACAAATACTGCATATACATGCATACATTACATAATCATGCCTGTCACATGCCCTTGCAGCAATGTGTGAATGCGTTTGATCTTACATAGACATATGAATTGGTTTGTATTTTAAAAGATGTATTCTTTATGAAAATAAATTTGTGGGCAATATTTAAAAAAAATGTATGAGAGAAATGGAAAGGAAAATTGCAGAAATGTGCTTTGGATTACCAAAGCAACTGAAGTGAATCCTTAAGGCCTCATCTTTTGCTGGGATAAATATATGTTAAGAGGATTTTTTTCTTAAAGCTGTGATACTACATTAGAAGCAAGAATGGCTCCATATGAGTAAGTCTGGTTTCTTGCATAAGCATATAAAGCGTCTTGGCAGATCTTTGAAACGCAGATTAGTCGCTTGGAAGACGAGAATGGCCTTCATGAAGCTATTCCCAGAGATGTGCTAAATGTCCAAAGTGTAAGAATGCCAGAAGTTTCTGATCATATGTTAAATACTAGGGAAATATGCTGTCTTCTGTGCAGACTTGAATACCTGTGTTTTGATTCATGCCATACAGTTCGTTCTAATAGTTTGCAATTATTTTTATTTTTATTTTTAGTGACAGCAGTTTATTTAGGCTGATAGCGCACCCAAATGGGAGAATAGAGCCCGAAATCACTGATGGAAAATAAATTGTTGAATGAAGAGAAGAAAAACCAGAAGATGAGGATGTTTGACCTTTAACAAATAGTTTCATACTGAGGAAGCTGTTTCGTGCTGATAACCTCGCTTTTAATCAGGGAGGACTAGAGGTTAAGGCAGAGGAAAATTTTAATGAGACTAGATCAGTGATTATGTGTAAAAGGCATTATCTGAACCTAGACTGGAAGTGATCAAAAATTTTGATCACTGACTTTGATCGAGTGAGAAAATATGATTTTGTCCGTGTGCCTGCCCAAGAACTGGCAAAGTTGACAGAAGATAGCAGACAGCAAGGCAAAGAGAAGGAGATTACGGCAAGTTGACGATGCATGAAAGAAAAACAAGAGAACGGTTGATACTAAAGCACAGATTATTTCTGGTACAAAGAAAGCAATACTTTACATTAATTCAGGTGCAGGAGAATAGCAGGTGCTATTTGAGAGTAGCAAATAGCCTCTTGCTTTGGATATCTGATGTTCTTTTGAACACACACCCAATAGGTGCTGATCTCTTGAGGCTTCTTCCTTTTTTTTTATTGCTATAGAAAAGCTCATCTTGGGCACAAGTTTGTATGCTTTCATAACAATGAAATACATTCAGAATTGATTAACACAAAAAGCAGTTTTTGCATCTCCTATATATTAATGAAGGGGAAAACCAAGTTCTGTCTAATACAGAAGTCAGTGTCATCACTGTCACCGAAGTGCTCCCTCATTCAGGTGTGGCACCAGCCACGTGATCTCATACTTTCTGTGATAAGATGGCCAACTGACAAGTTCATGGCAAAAAAATGGTTACACATGGTGTTTGTGTTTCATTGTTGCACAAAAGCCCATTTTTTTGATTTTTTTAATATGATTTTGTAAATGTAAGAGACTCTGTAGCCATTCTAGAGAACTGTGACCAGTGCTGCTTTCTGAAAAAGTCAAACAACAGCAACAAGAAGAAACAAATGTGTAGGAAGATGCAGTGATTTCAGCACAGCGTGGGCGGGAATCTGTGCTGTGCTTCCCTGGAGCTGCGGCACAGGGGAAGAGGGAGACAACTCGATATCACCTTTGGGCCTTGTGATGCTTCAGTGCTCCATATGGGAGAAGTATTGAACTCATGTAGGCAATAAAACACTTCAGCAATGGTGATGTTAGAAAGCACGTAACTGTTCTCTTGGTTACAGTGATGTCACTGGATGCTGCTGCTCTAATTTTGTCATTTACTGTTAGTTGCACTTAATTTTGTAAAGCGTCTTTTTCTCCTCCTTGCAGTTTAGAAATGAAAATCCTGTGAGCTATTTGGTGGGCTCTATCAATATCTCCCAGTTTGGCAAAAACAAGAATACAAATTGACTATGGCAAGAGCTTGTTATTAAAGCTGGGTATTAGAGAGCAAATCTAATTTTTGCGTGTTTAAGGTTTAAGCGAGCGTCAGTTTTTATCAATGGCTGCTTGTTTAGCATTTTTTTTCTGAAGGAAGATGTTGAAGAATCTGGGACTAGTCTCTGCTAAGTGAGAGTGCACTGAGTTCCTATTCAGCTGCATTACAGGGTACTGCAAATGCTATAAAGGTATGGATATAAGCAGAGCGCTTTGTATCAGGAGTACAAGAGAGGTTAGTCTGACCATGCTATGCTGTCCTTGGTCTGTCCTCTGCTGTTCGGCTTCTCTCCTCTCATTGCTTACGTTTGCAAACCTCTTAAACTTGTGCCACTCTTCAGGGAGTAAGGCAACAAGAGCGCCTTCAGTTTCGGATTGAATAGGTGAGTAGGGCAGCTTTTAGTGTCTCCACGTGGATGTCTAAAATAAAATGCCGAATAAAAAATGGTTAAATCCTAACAAGTCTACCTACCTTTTAAGTAGCCTTCTGCATTTGGATTTTCTGTCTTTGTGCATCAGGGAGCAGATCCCCTTTCAGAACATTTCAGGAAGTTCTGCCTTTCCCCTAAAGCTTTGCTGGCGATAGGCTGCAGACTTACCTTCCTAGAGTGCTGAAAACAGAGGGCAAATCTGAGGCTCAGCCACACTGTAGAAGATGGAGAGGTTACAGCTCACTTTCCAGTGAAAGCTAACTTTTCTCTTGTGCCATCGGGCCACATATGCCAGTTCCTCTAGAGTCTCAGAGGCAGGGTTTGGCCAAGGTAGTCTCTTGGAACAGGGTTTTAATGCTGCCCAGGGCCAATGTGGGATGCCCAGTGTCCTTACTCGATTCTGTAGGTTGTGCAGATCTCAGGAGTGCTGTAGGATTTGCTGACAGTAAGTTGAGTGTCTGAACGTGCTGAACAAGTTTTAAAAAGGCATTTGTTTTATTTTTAAGAGCTGTCAGTAAATTTGTATTCTTTGTAATTTCCTTAGCAGCACTAATTTTTTTTGAAAATAGAAGATTTTGCTTCTTTAATATTTTCTTACATAAAAAATATTTTCCAGTATTTGTACATTCATCCTTTCTTCCTAAGTCACTTTAAAATTCAATTTAAGGTAGAGGTACAGAATACCACGAGTCAAGTATAGTGCTTGGAAAACCGGTGAAAATCAAGGAGACGTGGTAGGTGCTTTCATAGAGCACATTTGCAGCTAGTTATTAGTGCCATTCATGTTCCCACCGAAGTCGATGGAAATTCACAGTGAGTATGCTTAGGCAGCTGTGTTAAGCAGTCTCTGCAGTGTTTCCTAGAGATATAATACTGTTAGTCCAAATTGCTTTTCTGGCTGAGGTACTTAATCATTTCCATTTTTAGTAGATCATTTAAAAAAGGATTAAGAGAGGGTTCATGCTACGTGGGAAAATACTGTGGGTCCCAGCTACTACATTGAAGAAGTTGATGTTCTTTTTTACTTGATGGAATAACAAAAAAAGACACACAAACTGTAGCAAAAAGGTCTCCAGTCTTCATAAAGGTCTAATATGACTCCACTAAATGCAGTTGTTGTTTTATTTTTCAGGCTTAATTAAAATTAGGCTGTTTATTAACGTTAGCCTGACTGCACAGAATTCCTTGATCTGACTCAGACTGGTTTTGATAATCCTGTTCTTTTTGAAAGAGTTGATTACTTCAGCTTAATTTCTTTTAAAGAGAACAGTTATTGTCACCCTCCACATCTGTAGAGTTCCTTAACAGTTTCTAATAAAATGAAGTGAACTGTTTTATTGCTGGTTGAGACTAAATGGATGTTTTATTATTAACGTGAGATTAACGTGAACTCCAGAGCATTAGTAAAAAATGTATAGAGCACAGTGATTTCCTAAGGTTTTTGTGAAGCATTTTGTTGAAGGCAGTAAAAAGTAATTGTATGATTTATCAAAAAGTGACCTGGCCATCATATAAATAATTCTTCTTTCACTTCATCCAGGAAAAGTTATTTATTTTTCTGTAATTTTGTGATCAACATCTCAAGCCTTTAAATTATGCAGAAGATGAAAAATGCAAGACTGGCCCTCCTATGCCATAGTAAGC